CCTTTGCTTGATCTCTCCACAGTCAATCGATTTAGATCAAGCTCGTGCTCACAAAGCTTTCAAAAGAGGACCGCCATTGACATTTGAGAGAGGTTTTGAGACTCCGATATGGTAGTCATCTTTGGTTGCCAAGACCTGTCCAATGATTTCAGAATTTTTTACATTTAATTCATCAGTATCAAAAGTCTTACCCAACCCAGTTAAGTGATTCACAATATGAGTGAAACGCTTTTGGACATCAGAAATAGTTTCTCCAGGTTGCATTCTAAACATCTCGTACTCCTGGATGAGCTTGTTCTTCCTTGCGCGTTTCACATCATCAGTACCCTCATGTGTGACTTTAAGCACCTCCCACATCTCATGTGTTGTCTTACAAACTGAAATTCTATAAAACTCATCAAGTACAACAGTAGATGGAAAATAATATTGCGAGCCTTCATATCAATTGGGCTCTCTTTTTTCCTCAGGAGTCCTATTTAAAGTATGGTTTTTCTACTTCTACACCGTCAACAGTTCTTTTAGGAATATACAGACCATTTAGTACAGCTTCCCAGATGCTTCTATCAACAGACCCCATAAAAATTTCCATTATGACTTTCCAGAAGGCATAGTTATCACCAGTAAAAAGTGGTGGTCTGTTGATGGAAGCACCCTCGACATATACTTGATTTGGATGACCGACCATTTTCGAAAAATTAGAAAGAATATCAAAGCAAGCTCTGATACCAATTGTTGGAACAACCGATACCGATTTTGGCAGCGGAAATATCAAACTGAGTACGATACAAGATTTTTAAAAGTCGAAGAGCTAGTTCGGTCAATTTAAAAACTGGTTCCATTAATTTTCTCTTAAACGTTTTATCAAACAGTTGATGTGCAGAAAATGTAAGAGTGTAGGGAGTAGAAAAATCAGCAAATGATTTTTATGCTGTTCGAATCAAAAGATTCTACGTCCATCGTTAATCACTATGAACTATGAAGCTTTTCACAAAACAGTTTTCACATTACAATGAAAGTGAATAGAAATACAATAACAAAACACTTCCTTCGAACAAACGAACCGGAAGAGTGAGCAAAAACCTTCCTTCACAAGAACAAGAGCTCCTTCGACAAACGACGGAAGCAACAACTCTGCCAACTTGAAGATGAACACCTTCCGACCTTTGACACACAAAGCGCGAACTTCTCCTATTATCACAAGACTTGACAAGAGAGGAACTTGACTTGAGAACTTCCTCAGATTTCATTGTATTTCAAATTCGTCAAAAGTTACCTTCTAAAGTGTTTGGCAAAGGTATATATAGCCTACTGGTCCAAACTGAAAAGACACATTACAATGCCAGTTGATAATCGATTATTATAAGACACAGACTTGGAATAATTTAGAATATTTATTCTTCAACCGATCGGTTCCGGTTCGTTCTTACCTCCTTCTACCGTTTCGAGTTTGAGCCATGATTGCCTTCTGCTCGTTTCCGGCTCGATTCGTTGAAAGCCTCGTTGCCGTCGGTCACAAACCCCCCAAAAAAACCTTATCACATCTACCTTTCGGCTCGTTCTCACAGTTTCTAGCGTTCGGTGTCTAACTGCTCGTCTGTGATCATCCTTGCTTGGTCTCTCCACTTTTCCTTGACTGACCTAGATTCCTTACTGCGCTTATACCGATTGACTGATCTTCTTCTTCTCTCCACATTTTCCACCTCTCGGCTTAATTCTTTGTTGGACTCACTAGTTGTTCGGCTTCTTTACAATTCCGTTCGAGTATTGTACATTGTTCGACTTTTGTTTGGAATCATTCGGTCGTTAACATGTTAGTGACCGTTTAGGCTTTATTTGACTACGACCGTTTCGATTCTTCAATGTTTATACACCTCCCACCTCACTATTAATATACCGATCGTTTAGTTTGTTCGCGCCATGGTCAGCCAGTGTTAGTCCTTTATCTGTTTTTAACCGTTCGTCCATTTTACTAGTTCGACCTTCATTATTACGTACCGTTCAGTCTTAGGTGCTCGGTCCTGGTGTCTTCTCTTATACAGAAATGCTTTTAAACTTCATACAACAAGAGTCTTCATATTTTCACTTTGTACATCATCAAAATCATTAACTTCAAGACACCAAATGCTCCACATTGGTAACATAAGAGAGGCATGATTACACATGCAACAATATTAAATTCCTCTAAAACAGATTTGGAAACAAAAGGGAAAAAAGAGTCAAACTTACTTGCTCTATTGAAGAAACTGATCGGTAGAAACGTAGACCTCTTTCTGGTCGATTAAGTACCTCTCGATTGTCAAATAGATGACTCAGGAGTTAGAACTCTTAGAGAGAAGATAGAGAACTCTAGAAAAGTGGTTTCTAGAGAAATGGTATGTTTTAAAATAATGAAACTCGTTTATAACAAAATTATTTATAATAAAATCGCTTAATATTAAAATAATCAAGTCTCATTATTTTTAAATTACCACCACTTCTAAAAATACTATTTTATGGGTTTTTACATTTTATATTTTTCCTTTTTTATTTTATTTTCTCTCCCACTTTCTTTATATATTTCCATTATTCCAAACCAAATATTACTCTCATTGAATCCTCTCCAAACCAAAAGTAAACCCTTTTTCCTTTCCTCATCACTTTTGCCTTTTTTTTCTCATTCACGTTGGACAAAGTCACACCTCTTCGAACTCATGTTTCTTTTTTTTGATATATATTTGTAATGTATCAAAATTGTGTTTGCATTGTACGTCATATAAAATGAAAGTTTATTATTATCTATTTTTTAATTTTTTATGATAATATTTGTTGTAGGAAATTTTATGTTATGGCGGTACTTACTTAGGACAATTTTAGGTTAAGATAATATTTAGATTACAACAATAACTAATTTAGAATAATATTTAGGTTGGAACGCTTGTAAGTTTGTGAAATGTGTAAGACAATATTTATGTAATAATTAATACTAGAACTACGTTTATGTGAAGAGAATATTTATTTTTGAACAATATTTACTTGGCAATAATATTTAGTTTAGGACAATATATGTAGTTTAAGAAAATATTCAATTTAAAACGTGTTTATTTTCGGATAATAAGCCTTAGAGATATAAGATGCCCCACATACGATAATTAGTGGTTAAAGAGTGAGTATTACTCTCCTCCCCTAGGTAAGATAGAGTAATCAAAATAAAGGCTCTAATAACTTTTTGCAATAATTACTTTAGAAAACATATTTAAAAAGGATTTTTAATGACTTAACACGATTTTTAATAATTAAAAATGTAAAAATCTTTACATCAACTCTAATTTTACTTTTGTTTATGTTCTAATTTAAAACTTTTAAGATAACACCATTAACATAATTATGCACATTTTTAAAGGATAATTAATTTAAGAATTTAAACATTTATTCACATTTTTGAAGTATTATATTATATTCATTTTAAAATTTAAAATTTAGTCAAATTTATTTTTAAAACATATATATATATATATATATATATATATATATATATATATATATATAAATTGCGCTTTGACTTCATCGCTTTAACATCACAGGAGTTTGAGAATAGTTTATAATCACTGACAGAGTAGAAGGCAAGCAATGTTATACTGATCTATTTAATAATTGAGGGTATATTTGTTTTTCTTGTAACCACGTTCAATCAAACTTTATTTTTTCCTTTCTCAAGACAAAAGCGACGAAAGAAAACATACAATTCTCAAATGGAAAAACCGTTAAAAGAAGATTGCTTTAAAATTTGTAACTGAGGTAAAACAAACATGAACTTGCATACAACTACAGTGTGCGTGGTCCAAGTGGATAGACGTCAAATACACGAAACCAACCAGGAAAAATAACAGTAAACATAATATATCTTAGTTTGAAAATGATTGCAGATATTTCAGAATTCAACTGCTGACTGAATAATGAACTAATTGAGCAATGAAAATTTCAAGGTCAACAACATTGCTATGCTGGATTAATTCATCATCATATTTTGGACCGGTGGTACAGGATTGAAAGTACTTTGAGCGTCATTTACATGCTTACCATCTTGAACTCTAATTGGATACACAAATTTTAAACTAAGATGCAAGTAATATAGAATCGCCTACTGAAGATTAAGGCTTAAAAAGGGGTTGATTTCCTAAATCAAAAACAAGTGCGAGGTAAATAATCACCAAGGGCAAAACCATACTTTTGTCCCTGTCCATGGCCTTAGGCAGACAAGAAAGCTTCTAGATTCCCAGCAGCATCAAGCTTTTACGCAACAGTTGAAGTAGCTCAGGAAGCTCCTCCTCGTCTGTCAGGGAAAAAAACCATAGAAATATGCAATATTTAGACACCACATATCTCCTAGTCCAATGTTTAGAGTATCTACGAAATGATTACGACCTCAAAGTTCAACTATTTTATTTAATCAATAAATAATCACCATAATTTATAGCCCTCTTACCAACGAAATGAATGCAACTGCCCCAGACATTCATCCCATGTGCAGTAACTAGAATTGCGTGTTGCCTTAGCAAATAGAATATATATCTACACATATAAATATTAACGTTTACATTCTTTTCAACCTAACCACCGCCCACTCGAATTAGTGAAAAGCATTAGTTTAAAAAGGAAGAAGATCATCTCGGGTATCAAAATATAATTCCGTGTAATATATAATCTAATATATCTTGTTTTCCTTTGGGTTGAAAAATATTAGTATATAAGCTTCCGGTACCCACTTTCGCTAAAGAAGCAGATGGATTACAACGAAAATTTGTCATTAACCGGGCGGCCTTAGTGAGCTTTGTTGTTTTCTTATGTTTACTATAACTTTACTTGGCAAGAGGTTGTCATGTCGTGGTTGTATTTGTCTTGTTTTCCACTTTTCTTTGATAAAATGTTTCCACTTACTATTCTTCTCCCTTTATCTCTCTATTCTCTTCAAATCAAGATCAATATTACACAAATATACTGTACGTTGCTAGAAATGTTGATCCCTACAGAATTTTGTGTTTCGCTTGCCTAAAACATTATTTAGTTAATTGAATTCTTTTGTTTTTCATCCTTTTTCCAAATATATTTTGGTATTAAAGGGGGCAGACAGACGATTGAAATGTCAAGTTCAATTTATTCCTTATTTGTTTTTTAATTCAAACCAATGAAGATTTGAGGCTAGTTTCTTTAACACTGATATTTCCAAAAAGAAAAAAAATGAATTAACTGGAAAAGAGGAATCTTACATAATGAAATAAAATAGATATTAGTGTAGATGATTTGTAAAGGAAGAGAAAGGAAAAATTTGATAAGGAGTTGTCTAAATATCAGCTCATATGACAATAAAATGTTATTTTAATTAAAAACTTGACTCGATCAATGCCTTGGTGGACGAAAACAGGTGATCAGTGTGTTTAAAACTTTTCCTTATTTCAAATATTCTCACTGCACCTGTTAAGTAAAAGATGCATGAGACAGTCATTCCCTAAGCTGTCAATTATTGCAGGAATCAATGTGAATTATGTTCCCACAATAACTACCCACCAATCTTTCTGAAAAAAGAAAACCTACAGGTACTCTAGTGGGTAGCAATGGTGACTACTTCACCATGATTGAATAAATTTTTAGGAAAATTTTAAAATTAGTAGCTAAGACCGTAAAAAAGTTATAGCTAATAACATAATGAATGACAAAGCTCGTGAGGAATCTTACAGTTGGAGAGCTGGTTTGGTGGTAGTGAGGATGCTGGTGCTGGTGTTCATCACTGTGGACAGTGTTTGTAGTGTTATTGGTAGAAGAAGCCATCAGTTCCTCTTCATTACCAAGACTTGCCCTTGAAATATTTGTCTTGTTTTGCTTCCTCATTTCCCGAATTTTAGAGAAATCCAGAGAGTAGTCTGGCACTTGTCCCTTCTGATCCCAGTCCCCAAACTGTGGCACTGATAACCAGGGAGCATTTTTCTACAGTGAAGTGAAAAGATTTATAGGTTAGATGGTTGATCACCATAACAAAACTATCTTTCTTCATAATAATAAAAATGATAACAAAAAAATAAATTATGACACAATAAAACGGTTTTACAAAGCACTTGTTTTTACTCCAGTCCAAAACAAACCATTACAAGCATCTATTATGCAAATGTAGAGGCAAAGTTTTATTACTAGGCATCCATTTTAAGCAAAAATAGCATTTAATAATTTCCTTTAAAAATGACCCCTAAGCGCACGACACTCAGCACTCAGAAGAAAGCTGTTTCTGACTGTGAACACAAGTCACAGGCAGCAATCTCACAGTGGCACTAACATTAGAAAGATTTTTCAAGATAAAAAAAGACTCATCATATTCATACAAGAGCCAAATAACGAAAAACAAAGATATGCAGTTTCACGGCTGCTGTAAAAATTAAGAAAAAAAAAACAAGTCCTCTTCCATCTCATGATCCACATGATTCAGAAAGGGATTTACAATTGCTGGTGCCAACACTAATATCATCATATAAACTTTAAACACAAAACAAATCGAAAAGTTAAATAAAACAAAGTTTGAAGCGAAAGAATATTATCACTTATAATCATAGTCGCGTCTATGCACGAAGCGCAACAAAACATCCAATAGATAGCACAAGCAAGAAAAACAACAAACACAGCTAAATCAAAATATGCACATGATTTTCAACGACCAGAACAAATAAAAAATCGAACAAGATGAACTAGGTGTTCGTGGTTCAAAGGTTTTCAGGTAGAAGCTCGCAATTCTCACGAAGAGGAATCGCAACAAAATAAAACACAGGGAAGCATCGATTCGGAGGAACCACGGGAATCGTTCATTCCGTTGGATTATTTAGTTTGTTCCTTGCGGTTCTTAGCCGTAAAACACTACATCGTCTGAGGGCAAAACGCACGCGTTTAGAGAGAAAACAGTACTTACCTCCTTACTTTGCTCCATCAGAGTGAGTTCAGATCTCGAGTTAAGAGAGAGAAAGGGTTTGATAAATGAGGCACAGCCTTTTCTAGCCAAATGAAACTATAGATAAGCATAGCTGTTTCGGCATGTATGTCCTCTATTTATGCACGAGAAAGAAAATTCATATCCAGACTTTTCCTTAAGTTTATTATTTTTCTAAAGAAACACACGCTAAAACATTTCCTAGCGTTTACCAATTCTCATAAAAAATGAAATACCATGTAATATAATAATTTTATTATTTATTACGAACACGCTGGTAAACCAAAGAAATAGTGGTAAAATATTTGCCTATCTTTATATTTATTAATTTATATCCAAATTAACATTTTTTTATATCTAAGTTATGGTGTATATAACTAACTATGTACCAACTATTTATATTTCATGTATTATTGTTTCTATTTAATGTACTTTCATTCCGTGTTGAACCACCCGCCACCCGCCACTTGCTTTCGGTTTTCTAGCTTCTTACCCTCACAAAGTATTCTTTCCATTTGGAACCCACAAACTCACAACCACAATTATACTGCAATTTCTATTTGTGGACATTTTCATTTCATAATAATTCTGATTTTTATACTTCTTAAATATAAAGTGTTGAATACATTATATATTTTTAATTTATTCAATTAATTTAACGCAATGTTTTATATAATCGGGACCAGTAGATTTTTTTCTTCTGCTTCAAAATTAAATGAACAATAAAGTCGTGCCTAGACAATGACAGATAACAAAGAGTTCCAATCCTTTTTCCCCCAAAAAAAAACTTAAAAAGGAACAATCATTGCCATAAGAACATTAATTATTACGATACATTTTTCCTTTCAACTTTTTTATTTTCAATTATTTGAACTGTGAAGTCCTCAATTATTATACTAATGATGAAAATAGTTAAACAATTTGGGTACGGTGGAGGGAAAACTATAGTATGAATATAGCAGTATTGCTTTTACGTTTTAAATGAAAAATAGTTTTATCAATATGTTGTTTAAAATTTAAGAAGAAATCGTTTTTTAATAAGGAAATTATTAGTTTGTTAAATATGAAAAGAGTAAATAAGAAATTAAATTCATACAATAAGGTATTACGAATTAATAATATAAAGAGATTAATTTCTTTTTATTTATATGTAACAATTTTAACAATAAATAAAAGCAATGGAAGAAAAGTTCTTTTAATTAATAATAATAGCTACTTCTATGACGTGTTAGTCTCTATATATTAACGTTGATTTTATGTTTTTCTCTACAATTATATAAAATTGATCTATTACTTCCACGCTACAAAATCTTTTCACTTTAGTTCTTATATAAGTACTTTTAGTTTCATTTTGGATTTTTTTTCATTAAAAAAATTTGATATTTTGGCATAGTAAAATTGATAGTTTTTGTTTCTATATAAGTAATTTTTTACGTTTTAATATCAATCATCCTTTCTAATTTGGTTCACCCTGTAACCAAACCTTTGGAGTAGGTTCTGGTTAAGAAGTTGACCAAAAAAAATGAAAAAAGAAGTTTACATTTTATTTTATAAAATAAATTTAACTTAAAAAATTGTAATCAAATGAATCAAGTATAGAAACAACTTACTCAAATTTGATTTACATATTCTCCCATCAATACTAAATGAAATAAATTAATCACAATAAAAAAACATATTTTGTTCAATATGTTTTTGAAAACATAATTGTTGATCAATTAACAGGGTGCGTTCATATAGGAAAATAATTTAGGAGAAAGAGTGAATAAACACTAGTAGAAAAAAAGGATTTCATGACACACTATTATGATAGGTGAAGTTCATCTATCATAATACATTGACCGGTGACAATTTTGTAATAAAATTAAGATATATTATGACGTATTTTAAAAAACCTATCATAATAGGAGTAGTAGTGGCATTTTCGTAATAAAAGTTACATATATTATGACAGGTAAAAGTCACCTATCATAATATGTTGGACGCGGTGGCAAAATGGAAATTATAGGGAAAACATATTATGATAGATATTAAAACACCTATCATAGTAGGTGCAAAACCCCTCTTTCATTTTACTTTTTTCATTTTGGTCGTCCCAAAAGGCAATATCTTTCTCTCGTCCAGAGCGCACAACGTCTTCCTCTCGTCCCATTTCAGTTCGTTCCATCTCAATTGAATGAGTTAAACAAAGCATGCATAGAGTATAGAGGAAAAACCCTAACAATTAATGAAGTAAAGCATATATAATCAAGAATCAATTCAATACATGAGAGTTTCAAAGGATTACATGGTTTCCCCAAGGGTTAAATATGTTTTTAGTCCCTAAACTATTGACCGTTTCTGGTTTTCGTCCCTCTTTCAAAGTAAGGTACAATTTGGTCCTATTCTTTTCGAAACGTTCGATTTAGTCCTCAGAACTTTGGTTTTAGTCCTCATTTTGTTGCTAAATGAGGACCAACTTTTTAAACGATGTTAGTTTTCGAGGACTAAAACGAACGTTTTCGAAAAGAATGAGGACCAAATTGTACCTTACTTTGAAAGAGGGATGAAAACCAGAAACGACCAATAGTTTAGGGACTAAAAACATATTTAACCCGTTTCCCCAACAACAATGGAGGTTTAGTTCACTATAGACATGGTGAAACTAGATGAAAATAATGAAAAGAATGAAAGATAGAACCCTAAAAATTGAAGATCGGAGCTTCCGCATCCAAAATCCTCCTCCAAGGGGTGAAAGGAGTGTAATTTCTCCTCTTTTTGTCCAAAGATATCAACCTTAGGTCGACTAAACCCTTGTATAATTTGTAAAAATAACAGAAAATTGGCCCAGGCCCAAGTTAATAGTACTCAGCGGTAGGAATTGCGCTCAGCGGTAGGAATTGCGCTCAACGGTAAGTGCGACACTCAAAGTCAAGCTCAGCGATGGCGCTCAAGCGTGAAACAGTGCACTTAACAGCAGACTTTGGCGCTCAGCGATAGAAATGCCGCTCAGCGGTGACTGCGATACTTGAATTAGCCCTCAGCGTTGGCGCTTAAGCGTTATATAGAGAACTCAACAGCAAGCTTAGCGCTCATCGGTTAAATGGCGCTGAGCGGTAACTGCGATTCTTCTTTTGTGTAATTTTCCTTCCTTTCTTGAGTCCAAATCCTTACAACTTCAACTTCTTCATCAAATTCATCTTAATTCCATTCAAAACAAGGAAAAACAAGCATAAAACCCATTCAACTCTCTTATTTCCACAACTTAAGCAAAAACATGATTTCAAGCTAGATTTTAAGTCATAAAGGGTGTTTTTGATGTCAAAATTAAGTATAAAAATAACGGTTTTTCAATCGTTATCACCTGTGTGTTTTCACTCTCCAAACCACCATTTTTAGATCTTTTGTTGATGACAAGTTGCTGGTTTAATTGCTTATTTCTGAGGTCTGCATGGTGCATCTACATTTGTGTAAACTTGCAGCAAAAGCTTGTTTCTTATTTGTCAATTTGTGGTTGTCTTGTTTTGTCTCTAGTGTCTGATAGCTTTGCCTAGAAAATCTTGGTTGAAAAGCCTAAGTGTAATTGAATTAAATTTGATTACTACATATTGTTGTTTTAATTTTTGTATATGTTGTTTTAATATGCAGAATCATAGTTGTTGTTTGGGAAGTTATAAATTGTGCTGTCAATGTTAGTTTTGAACAATTTGTGCTAGTAGTAAAGCCTTCATGATAAACTTTGAGTAGTTGTGATGTAATCGATTATTCTAGCCCGTTCTATTAATTAAGCCAGTTGCCTAGTGTATTTACCGAACGACACATGCTTCACCGTGTATTTATTGTTGCGATACGGACCGAACGATTCATATGGTACAAAGGGAGAAGTACTTATTGAACGGTTTGAAGAAGTACACAGCAATTGGGTTTTCCTTCTTTTAATTAAACCGGACGGTTCATTTGGTACATTAAGTTTCTCTTGTTATCTTTTCTTGCATAAATTGATTTTTTGAGGGGAAGAACATTTTGAGGGGGAGTACTTCTACTTTCTTTTTACTTATGATAAAAAATGGGGAGAAGAACAAACTGAACAAATTTCTAGGGCAGTTACTACTAACCTGTTTGTAAGTTTGTATTCTATGCAGATACAAAAAGATGCTTTTAAACAAGGAAATTTTGATCATCATAAAAAAGAGGAGATTGTTACCAATGTGGAGCATTTGTGTCTTGAAGTTAATGATTTTGATGATGTTACAAAGTGAAGAATATGAAGACTCTTGTTGTATGAAGTTTAAAAGCATTTCTGTATAAGAGAAGACACCAGGACCGAGCACCTAAGACTGAACGGTAGTAAAAATTGAAGGTCGAACGTAGTAAAAGAGATCGAAAGGTTAAAAACAGATAAAGGACTAACACTGGCTGACCATTGGCCGAACACAACTGAAGACCGAATGGTATATAATAGGTGAAGGTTGGGTGGTGTATAACAATTGAAGACCGAACAGTCGTATCAAATAAAGCCTAAACGGTCACTAACATTTAATGACCGAATGACTTCAACACAAGCTGAACCCATTTACATAACTGAACGAATTTGTAAAGAAGCCGAACAATAGTGAGTCCAACAAAGAATTAAGCCGAGCGGTTGAAAACTGTGTAAGAGAAGAAGAAGATCAGCGAATTGTATAAGCCAGTAAGGAATCAGGCCGATCAGAGGAAAACTGTGAGAGACCAAGCAAGGTATGATCAAGACCGAGCAGTTAGCACCAACGCTAGAAAGCTGTGAGGAACCGAGCCGAAAGGAAGATGTTGATAAGGGGTTGAACCGAACGGCAACAGGCTTTCACGAATAGAGCCGAACGACAGAAGGCAATCATGGCTCAAACCGAATAGTAGAAGGAGGTGAAGAACCGGAACCGGAACCGATCGGTTGAAGAATAAATATTCTAAATTATTCCAAGTCTGCAAATAATCGATTATCACTGGCAGTTGTAATGTGTCTTTTCAGTTTTGGACCAGCAGGCTATATGTACCTTTGCCAAACACTTTAGAAGGTAACTTTTGCGAATTTGACAATACAATGAAATCTGAGGAAGTTCTCAAGTGCAAGTTCCTGCTCTTGTCAAGTCTTGTGAATAATAAAAGTTCGCGCTTTGTGTGTCAA